AAAAGTCCTTGGAATTCTCCTATATTGTAGTAAAAAAGAAATCTGGAAAATGGTGAATTAACTAATTTAGAGCTATAAACAGTGTAATTCAACCCATGGGTCCTTAACAGCCTGTAGTTCCTTTACCTTCTTTATTACCTAAAACATGCCCTATAATAGTTGTTGACTTAAAAGATTGCTTCTTTACTATTCCTTTACAAGAACAGAATGGAGAAAAATTTTCTTTTACAGCTCCTTCTTATAATAATGTGCAGCCAATAAAATGATATCATTGGAATGTTTTTCCCCAGAAAACGTTAAATAATCCAACTTTATGTCAAATATTTTGCAAATCAGCTACTGGAAATGATATATAAACAGCTTCCTCAGATTGTTATTTATCATTATGTGGTGATACCTTAACAGCTGCCTCTGATATTAATGTCCTTGAAAAGGTATTTACTGAGGTACAACAGATCTTACCTCAATGGGGATTGCAAATTGCCCCTGAAAAATTCAAAGAGGAGATTCTCTTAGTTATTTAGGATTTAAGTTGAGTACACCAACCTCCAGTCTCAGGTTCTCAGGGATCATCACCTTCAAGGGACCATCTTACAGACACAGAAATCCAGAATATTCATGGGCCTATGCCAGTGCCTCCACAACCCAGTTTTGCTGGTGTGAAACTGCTCATCCATAATTCATGACCTTCTAGAACCTCAGGGTGGCCATGTGGAAAATGGCTTCTTTGTAGAAGTAACTTGAGAGTCAGTCATGCTGGCTGAATCCAGTGACAGTTGTTTTGGTTAAGGGTGGTTTTCCTGTATGTACATCTGTGCACCTCATGTATGTCTGGTGCCCACAGAGGCTATCAGATCCCCTGAGACTGGAGTTAGTGCTGAGAGTTGATCCTGAGTCCTAAGGAAGAGCAGCCAGTGTTCTAACCACGGAGCCACCTCTGCCATGATTCCTCCTTTTAATGAATTCTAGCACCCAAGTCCAGGAATTGGTGCCACTCTCCTTTAGGGTATATTTTCTCACTTCAGTTAACCTGGTCAAGATAACACTTTATAGACAGCCTAGATGCTAATCGAAGAAGAAGAGGAAGAGGAGCAGGAAGAGAAGGAGGAGGAGGAGGAGGAAGAAGAAGAAAAGAAGAAGAAAAGAAGAAGAAGAAGAAGAAGAAGAAGAAGAAGAAGAAGAAGAAGAAGAAGAAGAAGGAAGAAGAAGAAGAAAAAAAAAGAAGAAGAAGAAGAAGAAGAAAAGAAGAAGAAGAAGAAGAAGAAGAAGAAGAAGAAGAAGAAGAAGAAGAAGAAGAAGAAGAAGAAGAAGAAGCAGCAGCAGCTCACAGGTAAGCCTGGTAGCTTGTTTCCCAGGTGATCCCAGTTCCTGGCCAAGTTGACAACACTAGCAAAATCATTCCCTTCTCCTCACACTGGCCCCCATGCTTCTCATCCTTCTCCCAGCAAGCTTATCTCATGCCAGTTTTCTTCTTGCTATGGGAGGATATATGGGCCTTGATAAGCTCTGAGGTGTCTCCTTATGATTCTCAGATCTGCGTTCCTTCTCATTTTTTCCTCATTGAGGATCCCTGTGCATTCATTCCCTTTGTGACCAGATCATGTTTTGTGATATTTGTATGTGTATGAGTGTTTTGCCTGTATCAGTGTTATTATGTGCACCATACTAACTGGGAACTGAACCCAGGTCCTCCAAAAGATCATCAAGTGCTCTTAACCACTGTGGTATCTCTCTGCAGCCATGGATTTTGTATTTCATACTGCTTGAGACAGTGTCTCATGTATCTCACCTTACTCAGTATTGAACTCCTTATTCTCCTGTCCCCACCTCCCAAGTGCTGGGCCATTCTTGCCCACCTGATATTTTTACCAAAGACTGCCGCAACACTGTATTGCATTCAACATGTTTTTATAATGTAAACTTGATTATTCTGTTGCAAAGTGAATCCTTGCCACCTTGAAGTTGGGTAGACTTTTAGCCTTGTTTCCATATATCAGAAGTAGCATTATGTCATTATTAAGACCACACATTAGCCTGGCAGTGGTGGCACACACCTTTAATCCCAGCACTTGGGAGGCAGAGGCAGGTGGATCTCTGTGAGTTCGAGGCCAGCCTGGTCTCCAGAGTGAGTGCCAGGATAGGCTCCAAAGCTACACAGAGAAACCCTGTCTCGAAAAACCAAAAAAAAAAAAAAAAAGACCATAATATTAAAAGCCATAGGCTTCTTTCTCTACAAATGTTTTACTCTTTTCTGCATGTATATATGCACACAATGTTTATACAGCACCTGTGAGGGCCAGAAGAGGGCATTAGACTTCCTGGAAGTGGAGTTACAGATTGTTGTGAGCTACCATGTAGATGCTAAGAGCTGAACACAGGTCCTCTGCAAGAACAGCCCAGGCTCTTAACCACTGTTCTGTTCCTCCAGACCCTGAATGCTTGTTTTTGAATCCTTCAGCTGCCATATAATAATTAAGTCCGTGCTGAGGCCAGTATGGAAGCTATAGGAAACCCAATGCAGCCCATATAGAGACACTGCATTGAGAGGTCCTGAGATGAACATGATGGACATCAAAACTGAGTGTGGTGGTGCACACCTTCAACCCCAGCACTCAGGAGGCAAGGGCAAGCAGGTGTCTGTGCCTTAGAAAACAGCCTGATCTACATAGTGAGTCCCAAGACAGCCAGGACTACATAGAGACACCCTATCTTAAACAAAACAAGATAAAAACTTGAACCAGTTCCAAGGACTAGATACCAATATACATGCTTAACATGGAAAGGCGAATCTCAACAGAAGACAAAGAACTTCAGGAACCTAGGGAATGTTCAGAGTAAGAGAAACAGTCTTGCCCAGCAAGAGTCCCAGATTGGTTATCCAATATTAAATGGTCAATCCTGAAATCATATGCACACAAGTGACATTATATGGAACAAGCAGGCTGTATTTATGTATTTATGTGTCTAGGAACACACACACACACACACACACACACACACACACACACACATATATGGAACAAGCAGGCTGTATTTATGTATCTAGGAACACACACACACACACACACAACAGCAATTAGAGGAATAGAAACCATTACTTTGAGAGAGACCAAGTGTAGTTGTTGGGAGGAGAAGGAAGGGGGAGAATGTTGTAATTAAATTTTAATTTCAAAAAATAAAAAAAACACTTTTAAAGAAGATTGAAGAAGTTCCCAGTGTGTCATTCTTGTGATTACACTCCAGTTGTACCTCATCAGCTGCATGAAAAACCAAGACTAGAGCCATTCCACCAATCCCTCCCCAAATCCCTAACTCACATAAAATTTGAAAGGCAGTAGTATCTACAAACCTTAGGATTCAGTGTGATTTATGATGAAGTAGCAGTAGATAACCAGAATAGTCTCCCTGCACCATATCCTTGGCTTTGTGCTTCCAGGTTCTCCTAGACTTGTGTGGATTTTCCCATATCTTTAGATCCTGAGGTGGGGTTGGCGGTGGAGAAAACTCACCTGCAGGTTAACATTGTAGGTGGTGTGATGGGGAAGTTGGGTAGGTCCACCTCACTGATACTCACAGCTGAAGCTGCTTCGGTTGGCTCATACACCCTAGTGAGGAGTTCTTGGGCTGGAGAAAACTGAGGTGTATTGTTGTGCCCAAATTCTGAACCCCTAAATCACCAAGAGGCCCTTATGATGCAAAAGCAATGAGTCTTTCATTGCAGTTGTTTAAAGAGCTGACCCCATTAGCTCAGGCTTTCTATCCGGATGGACAGAGAAAGGACCCCGAGAAACCACAGGACAGGAGTCTTATAGGGCAGCGTAAGGGGAGTGTTTAGGGGTACACACAGGCTCAAGATTGGTGTGCCGCCAGGCTTGGAGGGCTTGCCCTGTGTTGATTGGCCAACTGGTAGTTATGGCCCATAGGCCCTCCCAGGACGGTTGCTATGCTCTGCACAGTCACTGCTGTGCACTTGTTGTAAAGAGCCTTAAAGCATAGCCCGGCAAACTAACTTCTAATTGGTTCCTTGCCATGAGGCAGGCATCTGACCTTCAAGTGAACAGGGCAGGCCCATAAGGTCATGGCTGCCAAAACAGGGGTAGGGTGAGATGGGGGTGGGGTGGGGGAAGGGCTGGTCCCTTCATTATGTTAGGAATGTCCAGTATGCATAGTGTTAGCATCCAGGCACACCTGACCCACCCCTGGAGACCTGACAAAATGGCTGTCTGTCTCTCACCAACCGTGGTTTTGAAGGAACCAGCTTCCTTTTGGCAGCCATAACAGCCGAACACGTGCTTGCCATAAACCTGCCTTGGTCACGTAGAGGTCAGATGCCTGTCTCGTGACAAGGAACCTTAGTCACTTAGAGGTCAGATGCCTGTCTTGTGACAAGGAACCAATCAGAAGTTAGCTGGTGGCGCTATGCTTTACGACCCTGGGTGTGCTTTACGGACAAGCGCACAGCAATGACGTAGAGAGCATAGCAACCACCCTGGGAGGGCCTATGGGCCATAACAACCAGTTGACCAATCAACACAGGGCAAGCCCTCCAAGCCTGGAAGCACACCAATCGTAAGCCTGTGCGTACCCCTAGACACTCCCCTTACGCTGCCCTATAAGATCTTTTGGGAGACCCAAGGAGCCGTCTTTTCTAGCCAACCGCCATGGCGGGTGGGTAAAAGACCCGAGCTAACATTCGGTTAACTCGTTAAATTACAATAAAGCCTCGTGCAGTTTGCAGCAAGCTCTCGAATCCGCCTGGTGATTTGGGTGACCGCGAACCTGGCCTGAGACCCCGGATACTTGAGTTTTCGGGGGTCTAACAGTTTGAGCCCAATACAACAAGGTCTCTCCCGTGCAGAATCATAACACATAGTGAAGGGACCAGCTCCCCATTTTGGCAGCCATGACAGTAACACGTACCGCCATGGCGGGTGGGTAAAAGACCCGAGCTAACATTCGGTTAACTCGTTAAATTACAATAAAGCCTCGTGCAGTTTGCAGCAAGCTCTCGAATCCGCCTGGTGATTGGGGTGACCGCGAACCTGGCCTGAGACCCCGGATACTTGAGTTTTCGGGGGTCTAACATTTTGGGGGCTCGTCCGGGATTTGCGATCAGCCTTCACCTGAGTGGATTCGATCTTGGAGGTAAGATGATTGGAGCTCGAAACTTGTATATGTTCAATGTTCTATGTTTCTTGTTTTGTCTCTTGCTGTTTTGTTTGGTGCCATGATTTGTATTTGATCTGCGCAGAATTTGTAATTGAACCATAGGGTAAGCAGACTTGCGAGAACCTGGGTTCCACCCTGGATGAAAGTCCAAGGGTGCGTACCCCTAGACACTCCCCTTATGCTCCCCTACAAGATCGCTGGGCAGCCGGTCGAGGTGTCTTTTCTAGCCATCCACCATGGCAGGTGGGTGAAAGACCAGAGATAACATGGGGTTAGCTCATTAAACAACAATAAAGCCTCATGCAGTTTGCACCAAGCTTTTGAATCCACCTGGTGATTGGGGTGACCTCGGTCCTGGGCTGAGACCCCAGAGGCCTGAGCTTCCTGGAGGTCTAACAATAGGATGTCCAGTATACATAGGACATGCAGAATTCTTTCCCTGGGGAGATGTAAACAACGCCTTCCCCATTCTTATAGGGTCCCAACAGCAAACAAAGTACAGTTCTCCCAGTGTTTAACCTGGAGAACCAATGAAGCAGTCATTTTGGAGTGTTCACCCAGCATAAGCCATCGGTCCCCTTTATTGAATAGAGTTGTCTCTTCAGTTAACCCCTTCTCCAGTCTATAAGCATTAGGGGACAAATACCCCTCGCCCCACCTCAATCCATATGCAATTAAGAACAAATCGCATACAAAATGACTGGGTGGGGTACCTGGAAGCCACAGCTACATTTATATACACACACCTAGACAATAAATCCCCTGAAGACGTGAGACAGCTTTAGTCTGTGGCATTCCACATGACCATTGGTGTATGGAAATGAGCATTCTGACGGCGAATTCCCCATAATTGGAATATTGACGTGGCCATGACAATGTCTTGGGGAGGAATCAGAACGTACACCATTGCAATTATTGGCAAAGCCTAGCCTTCCAAGTGGTGGTGGGCATGCGCACTACTATTTCTGTAGCTGCAAGCAGTAGTGGCCATGCGCAATACCAACTTCCGCCGGTATGGGCGAAAAGGCTGAGGTGTGGCCACAAGTGTCCTAGAGTGCCTATTTCCGCTTAGATCTTCACGTGGCTAGCCGTTGTTATCGTTACCAGGACGCCGTGAGAGTTTGGAGTCTGAACTTGGGGAATCCCGATCGTCCGCGGGCGGAAGTCGCGGCCGTGCGAGCCGTGCGCACAGCTCTGCGGTGCAGGGTGAGGTGAGCGGCGGCGGCGGCGCAGGGCGGACGCCGGGTTGCTGAGCGCTGGTTTGTGCTGTGACCTCCGGGGCGGCGGCAGGGGGATACCGGGGGTGAGCTGGGCTGGACTGGACGTCCTGTGCGAGTGGGGAGAGCAGGGTTGCCGAGGGAAGCGATGGAGCCTGCTGTTGTGAGCCTGGGGCTGGTGTCTGTGAGGGCGGCCGCGCCGCCTTCTGGACCGGGAGTGTTTGCATAGCCGGTGCCTGGCTGGAGTCCTCCTGCGAGAGGAGACACAGGAGAGGAAAGTGGAAAATGAGTTTATTCACGGTTTCATATCACACCGGGGCCGCAGCATCCGTGGTCTGCCCAAGCCTCAGCAGTGTCAAAATTGCTAGGAGGAATGGGACTGTGCTCGAGCTCGTAGCTTTGGGGTGCCGGGGAACCGGGGCTTCGGGCCATCTCCCTAATCGCGTTATATTTCCCACTGGCAGCTGGTGCTGAGAAAGAAAAAAATAAATCAAATTTACTAACTTCTGTGGCCAGTTTTGAGTATTGGGGTCCTTGAAGATGTGTGGGTGCGTCCGTGCTGACCTGTCTTTGGGACCCTTATGGACTGGGATCCGCAGTTGAGAGCAGCATGGTGCTGTAAATAGGTGTCTGGCCTCCTGCAGCCCCGACAGGTTGAAAAGACTAGTTCGTTTCTCTTGGTGAAAAGCGGAGAGAGGAGGGGAGTTTCTTCAAATTAGCCATATCGGGTAGAGTGAACCCTGCGACCCTGTGTCATATAATGGTTGGGATTGCGGATCAAGAGATTTGCATAATAAAGTTATCTGGCTGGGTGCGGTGGCTCCCTTGGGAGGTGGTAGCTACCCTTTGCAGGTAGTACCTACCGGCAGGATCTCTGAAAGTGTCTGCTGCTTAGCATAGTAAGCATCCCCACTTCGTTTTTGCACGCGTTCGTAGATGTTTAAGAAGTCCCAGTCATAGTGTGTGTGTATTCTGCCTATCTTTTTGTTAGCGCAGTCCTGCAGAGTGTGCCTTACATTGTTAATCTGTTCCTTGTCCTAAACCCAAGGGGACCAATCTGTTTCCTCCCTGGTGTTTATTTCTGCTGTACAGTGAAGCCTCATCCTCATGCCTAATTGTCCTCCTCTGTGTGTTCGGAGGCTTTACAGTTTCTGGAATTGAAGATGACTGAATTTAGGACAGTGGCTTGTCTTTGGACCTTGAAGGGGGATGTGTTAATCCCACCATGCAAGAAGACCACTCCCATAATTTTGAGCCAAATTTGAAGCAAGCTTGATTTTTATTGGGGTGCACCCAAGAGCTGACCAATGACTGCCTCCTAATTCAGGTTAAAGAGAGCAGTCCTGAGTCCATTACTTAGGGCTCTTTGAAGGAGTAAAATTGTGAGTAGTTGCACAACAGATTTATTTTATTTGTCTGGTTGGTTGTTATTTGTTTCTTTTTCAAGACGTTTTTCTGTGTAGCCCTGGCTGTCCTAGAACTTGCTCTGTAGACCAGGCTAGCCTCGAACTCTTCAGAGATGAACTCAGGAGATCTGACTTCCTCTGCCTCTGGTGTCCTGGGATTAAAGGTGTGCACTGCCACAGCCCGGCTTGCAAAGCAGATTTACCTAAGACAATGGAGCGGTAAGGAAGTACAGAAAAAACTCAAAAGAAAAAAAACAATAGCCAGTAGCCATCATGTGATCAAGGAGAGGTATGGGGCTGAGTGTTCCCCAAAACAAGTCAAGTTCATAAGTTGGGGCAGGTCAGGTTCTGGGAAACAGAGCCAGAAACTTATTTTTTAACAATACAACATAGTGGCTCTTGTCTTCAAAATGGAGTCAGGCAGGTTCCCCAGATGGTGTGAGGTGGATAGAGACAGCCAAGCAAAAGTCTAAGCCAAAGTGAAGATAAATAGACCCAGCTGGCCTTGAACTTGGCAGTGATTCTCCTGCTTCTGAGTGCTGGGTTACAGGAGTGTATCCTGCAAATTGAAGTTCCCAGAAAATTAAAAAAGAAGTTCCTTCTGCCTAATTAGCTAAGAAATTGTTTGAGATCTTGTCCCTCCCTCTGCCACTTTCATTCTTCTGTTCTCAACAAGAGCCTCCTGTGGTTTTATCTCTACGTTTCACTTCCTGTTTATTTTAAAGCTATCAGGCATGTGACTTTGTCATGAATACAGGTTGCTGTTAGGTGAACCTGTCTCTAAGTCATTTTCTATTCTGAATATTTAAAGTTGTTTCTGGAAGCGGGTAGGTAGCAGACACTAGTAGGGCTCTAATTATTTTTGTCCATCTTGGAGCTAAGCTGATTCAGGGTGCTTTGATTTTGAAGATGAACCATGGCTTTACTTTTTTTAGGAGTTGTCTTTAGGAATGTGTCCTCTGGCCCTTAAGTAAGCGAAACTTAGGTGCTGTCTTTGCCTGGGTACCTTTTGAAAACACATTGAGCTTCAGTAGCATCTGAAGTTTCCCATCTATCAAGCACACAGAGCAGGTCAAACTATAGGACAAAGGTCTCTTTTCCTCTCCAAGCTTTCCTTCCTGTGCCACCATCATTGTCTTTCTGTTCTGCCTCACAACAGTAGGAATGATGTGAAGCAGCGGAGAGACTCATCTCCTGCATATGCAGTTAGTGACCTTGAGTCCGATTCTGGAACACAGCACACAGCCTCATTCGCCACTTAAGAAACCAGGCACACTAATGCTTGTGACATACAGTTGAGCTCTCAACTGAGCAAACACTAAATAAAATGGAGTTGACACTACTGATTTTTAGTCAATTTTTTTTTCCCAACTTTGAATCATGATGTGTGCCTGTTTGGGGAATGTGCCCATGAGTCAGGTGCACCTGTAGGCCGAAGGCTTCAGGTCCCCAAGGAGCATGAGTTCCAGGTGGCTGTGAGCCGCTGATATGTGGGTGCTGGGAATCAACTTGGTTCAGAATGGAAAACAGCAAATGTAAAGACTCAGTATGGGCTAAAAAGGGTTTTTACAAGTATACACAGAGAAAATGATGGGCAGGACAAATAAAGGAGCAACTGTCATTCTCCATAGAGCACCCTTAAACAGAAACAGCACTCTTTTATTTGTATTCTTCACTGCCACAGTGGGCTTGATTCCCAATGCCTGTCAACACCTGCATCTTCCTTTGGAAACTTCGAGTTACTTAGTATCTTCTCACAGTTAAAGGGTGGGAAATCTGCAGTTAATTCTTCATAAACATTAGTTCAAAACTGTAGTCTTTTGTTTGTTTCCTGGATCTTCATAAAATTAAGAGTTGGGTCAGGCATGGTGGCGCACACCTTTAATCCCAGCACTCAGGAGGCAGAGGCAGGCTGAACTCTGAGTTGAGGACATCCTGGTCTACAGAGTGAGTTCCTGGACAGCCAGGGTTACACAAAGAAACCTTGCTCAAAAAAAAAAAAAAGAACAAAAAAGAAAAAGAAGAAAGAAAGAAAGAAAGAAAGAAAGAAAGAAAGAAAGAAAGAAAGAAAGAAAGAAAGGGAAAAAAATCTTAACCTTATCCACTACTCTGTAGTGTTTATATGATGCCTGCCAGGTAGGGCTAAAACTTCCTATGCAAATGTTGGACGAGTGTCCCACAGTCGTTGACTTTCCAGGACTTTCTGTGTCTTTGTAGATCCCTGGGTCAGGCCAAGTCATTCATAGCACAACCAAGCTGAGTTCTGCTTGTCAACTCTACTCAGAGGCTCCACATGCTCACCCGAATCCTGAGGAAATCCGAGACCTAGAGTAGACACCACAGAAGACATGACTACTGATGTGAATTTCTTCCAGAAGCCCCAGAAACTGGAAGCAGAGGAGCAGGATGGGTCATGTGAGGTGAGGTTCTGTTCTCCAGAACTAGAGTGTAGAGACATTGGAAGTACCAGATTGTAAGCTTTGTTCCTGAGGCGACCTCGATTCTCAGGCTCAGGGGGCTGAAATGCCAGTATTTTCTCATCTTGTCATGGCATCCTCATTGTACTGCTTCCTGGGGAGACGACCTGTTTCTATTCAACCCAGATACAGGGGACTGGCAGGACAGAGAAGTAGGCATAGCTGAGTCTAGCTTGGTGATCCAGAGATTATTTTGGTTTAATTCCGGGATCACAGATGAAGAGTGGCCTCTAGAGGCATGAACAATTTGAGCAGTTGTGTTATTGACCTCCAGTATCGATGATGGTTTGTGAAAGCTGTATCTCCAAATCATCCCCCACCCAGTGTGTCTAGCTGATGGGTTTTTCTTACTTGTGGACCTGTGGATTTGCCTGCCTCCACGCTTTCACTCCCATTCTCTTTTAGGAAAATGGCGTTCTACCCTACTTCAAGCATCTCGTTTACAGTTTAAGCTGCTGTGCTCTACAGAACATAACAGCTACTCCTTACTTTGTCCCGCCCAACATTTTCTCTGTGTATATTTGTAAAATGCTCCTTTGAAGCCCATGCTGAGACTTTACATTTGTTGTTTTACCAGTTTTTCTAAGAGTAGAAGTTCATACTGTAGCATTGAACTCCAAGAACCCACACAACTCTAGACAAGTATAGTAAGGCTTAACAGCTGCCATCCTGCTTAAATTTGGTGGAGAAATTCTGCATGACAGGGTATCTTTTTTTTTTAAAGATTTTATTTATTTATTTATTTATTTGTTTATTTATTTATTTATTATGTATACAACATTCTGCTTCCATGTATATCTGCACACCAGAAGAGGGCACCAGATCTCATAATGGATGGTTGTGAGCCACCATGTGGTTGCTGGGAATTGAACTCAGGACCCCTGGAAGAGCAGTCAGTGCTCTTAACCTCTGAGCCATCTCTCCAGCCCATGACAGGGTATTTTTATATACTGTCTTTCACATTATATATTGATTTCACATTTTTTCTTTTTTTCTTTTTTTTTTTTTTCCGAGACAGGGTTTCTCTGTGACTTTGGAGGGTGTTCTGGAACTCACTTTAGGCTGGCCTTGAACTCACAGAGATCCGCCTGCCTCTGCCTCCCGAGTGCTGGGGTTAAAGGCATGTGCCACCAACGCCCGGCTGATTTCACATTTTATGCCTGAACATAAAATGTGAAATCAATATTTTTGTGGAAAGTTTAAGTGTACTTCCTGGAAAAAAAATCACTAAAAACATGGTTATTTACTGTATTTTTCTGTTTTTACAGAGATTGGTGTCCTTTGAGGATGTGACTGTGACCTTCAGCCAGGAGGAGTGGCAGCAACTGGACTCTGCCCAGAGACGCCTGTACCAGGACGTGATGCTGGAGATCTGCAGCCACCTCTTGGCAGTGGGTGAGCACAGCTGGCCCGGGGATCCACGATGGGTCTTGTATTTTTCTCTTTGCAAAACTTGGTGGAATATCAGAAATCTGTCATGATCTCTTAGTTGTTTTGTCCCTGCTTCACTCCGTTGGTTACCTTTTATGTGTTACTTAATGTTGACTTTTGCAGTTAGCCAGTACAAAGTTTATTGGATACCCTTCAAAAACTAAGACGATGCGACAAATCCAGTAGCCTTGCAATTCACAGGGTATCCCAGGCCAGAGGCCATCCTTAAGATGAAGAAAGTTGATTTCCCACATCAGAGGTGTCTGTGTCGAGGTGAGTGATACTACCAGGTGAGGTAGGTAGTTGAGAGGTGTAAAATCAGCCTACTGACTTACTCATCCCCTCAGTAGTGGGCACCTAGATTGCCCTACTCCCAGTTTTCATAGTAAACACTTACTACATTTTAATATGAGCATGTAATAGGGACAGAAAGATGGTTACTGGATATTTGCTTAAGTTTCCTTCTAATGATCTATACAAATTTACAGTTCATGTTTGAAAATCATGAAGAAATCACACATGGATTTGTGTTTGTGTTTGTGCATCTTAGTTGTCAAGAGTTGACATTATCAAGGTGGTTAATATATTGTTTGTGTAATGAGTAGAAGAAATGTTTCTTAGCTGGGCGTTGGTGGCACACACCTTTAATCCCAGAACTCAGGGGCAGGCAGATCTCTGTGAGTTCAAAGTCAGCCTGGTCCACAGAGTGAGTTGCAGGACAGGCTCCAAAGCAATACAGAGAAACCCTGTCTCGGGGGAAAAAAATGTTTCCTTGTTTTGTATGAGAGAGAGAGAGAGTTAGAAGTGTGTGTGTGTGTGTGTGTGTGTGTGTGTGTGTGTGTGTGTGTGTGAAGAGGCCCAAAGCATGCTAGAGTTACACGTGGTTATGGGCACCCATGAGGGTGTTGGGAACTGAACTTAGGTCCTCTGGAAGAGCAGCAGGCACTCTTAACCACTGAGCCATCTCTCCAGGCCCTTTTGTGATGTCTTTTCATAATTATTTAGAGCATCTTATTATATCTGTTATGTAAATAACTTTTCTATGTATATATTTTTTGTATGTTTTATCTTTCTTTGGTCTTCTAATGCTTTCACCCCATTTACTTATCCCTTCATCAATGTCCTTTTTCATCCTGGGTCTTTTGTGTCCTAATTGTGGCACACCATATTCCTATTTAATATGTTCCCGTGTAATCATTCTTTATTATGTTTGTGTATATATATTTATGATCCTGGGTGTGCACCTGTCCCTCACCCCTGTGGAGCTCTGAAGACAACTTGCAGGGAGTCACTTCTCACCTAGAGATCAGACTCAGATCCTCAGGCGTGGCAGCAGGCCCCTTTACCCACTGAGCCATCTTGTGGGCCCAGCCATACTTTCTTATAGGAATTGCCTTTTAGAGCCATTCTGTGCTGATCTCTTTGTCCTCCTGCGGCAAGTTTTGTCAAGCTGATACAACATAGAACTACCTGGAAAAATTCTTGATGAGAAACTATGTTAGGTTGGCCTGTGGGTATGTCTCTGGGGAATTCTCTTGATTGACGTGGGAAGACCCATCTCTGTGGGCAGCACCGTTCCCTGGAGTCGGGTCATAGCCTCTGGGAGTACAGACAGTGAGAGGAGTGGAAAGGATCGAACACGGGATAGGTTATTAACTGGTAATATATTGAGAGGAGCTAATAACCAGATTTGGCACTCCGAGAAGTCCAGCCCCAGATGCCTCCGAGACCTGGTCTGAACCCTGAGAGAGGAGTGCCTCCTCTCCTTGCTCTTTATCCTACCCCTCTACATACCTGTAACCACGCCCAAGTGGTACAGGTATCCAGGGTCTCTCCCTACAGAGGAGTAATCGGTATGCATGTGTTCAGTCTTTCTCGTCCTTTCAGTTTCCCACCACCTTGGATTCCCTGAAATGATGGAGTATAACCCAGAATGGTAAGGTAAAATATGTCTTTTTTCCCCTAAGTTGCTTTTTGTTGGTGTGTTTTATCACAGCAATAGAAATGAAACCAGGACAGGCCTCACATTTGAATTGTGGTAATGTCTGTGTTAGCCTCTGCAGTCTCTCTGTGTGGTAAACCTCCTGCTCCTTAGGACTGGTCTTGTGAATGGTCCCCTTCCTTGTTTTTGAGACATGTGAACTGGGGTCATCCTCATCCAACTTAGAAAGTACTTCCATTGGAGGAATTTTAGTCTCTTGCTCTCATCCTTGAGTTTATTACTTCTCAGTTCCTGCTCAATTTTATTTTCTATTATACACTTTACATGACTGCTTAATTCTGCTAAAACTCCGTTTCCTTATTTAGATGTCTTATTCCTATTGAGATTTTTGGATTTCACTTAGGAATTCAGTTAACATTCCATTGATAGGTTTTCTTATAGCAAATATTTCTATTTTCTTTCTCTTCTTCCTAATAGATTTGATGCAAATACTCAATTATTTTGTATGATGTAGAATTCACCAGTTCTTTCAGTGGCTATATATTTCCAATTTGCAAATGTCCCTGAGTATTTTTCCTCACTTGTGTGCTGAGCCAAGTATAGATAGGTAGGTCTCTGTTAATGTCTGCTCTGCTGGTATTCTCTGTTGCATACAATCTGTTGATTAGATTGTCTTTTCCAATTTTTGTTTGTTTTGTTGTTGTTGCATCAGAGTTAAGCCCTGTAGACAGCAGCTTCAGCAAATGAAGAATTGCATGTATTGAACTTCCAAAGATAAGCAGAAGATACTGTTTTCCCTATTTTAGAAAAATTTTCAGTGTGCTAAACTAAATGGAAGGAAACAGGGGGTAATGGACAGTGTGGAATAGCAACAATAGAAATGAGAGTCACAAAAGTGTCCTTAGTGCCTTTGTCCTCTATGTTTAGGGAAAGATTCTTGAAATGCACCCACCAACAGGAAGACGCAGGGAAGAACTGCTCTGGTTCACATGAAGTAGCCTCACCCTAAATGTGAGCTGACATGGGAGTTGATTTTGGGGGCACAAGGACTGGCTATCATAAAGTAATTTTGAATTGGAATAAAGGACCAGATGAAGCAAAGTTAGTTGAGTTAGAGTAATATTTTTCAACCTTCCGAATGCTGAGACCCTTTAATACAGTTCCTTATGTTATGGTGACCCCCAACCATAAAATTATTTATGTTGCTACCTCATAACTGTAATTTTGCTACTGTAATGAATCATAATGTAAATATTTGATATGTAGGATATCTGAGATATGACCCCTGTGGAAGGGTCAGTCATTCAACACCCCCAGAAGGGGTGGGTCATGACCCATAGTGAGAACCCATAGTTAGAGGATATGAATAAATGCTCAAAGTTAAGAGAAATTGACCATTTTTATGTTGAGGTTGTTGAGATATAGTGGAGAAATAAAATGTATTTTAAAGATGTATTTTATTTTATATGTGTGAGTGCTTTGCCTGTATGTATGCCTGTGTACCATGTGTGTAGCCTGGTGCTTCAGAGCCATAAGAGATTGTTGAATCCCCTGGAACTGGAATTATAGATGGTTGTGAGTGCTGTGGGTGCTGGGAGCCAAACTCAGGTCTTCTGCAAGAGCATCAAATGTTCTTAACCACTAAGGAAAAGATAGCCTTTCAGCCCAATATTGGCAATTTATGGATAAGCTTTTCAGAATCCCTGTGGTGCAAAGTTTATAATATTCCAGATGGATGCTGAAGGGTTGACAATATAACATCAAAAGGATAAGTGACGACAGTAGTATGTAAAGTTGATATTTATCAATTTGTTACTCCTGCTGGGCGTTGGTGGCGCACGCCTTTAATCCCGGCACCCAGGAGGCAGAGGCAGGGGGATCTCTCTTAGTTCAAGGCCAGCCTGGTCTCCAGAGCGAGTGCTAGGATAGGCTCCAAAGCTACACAGAGAAACCCTATCTGGAGAAACCAAAAAAAAAAAAAAAAAAAAAAAAGAATTTGTTACTCCCATACTAAGGGATGAGAACAGGACAACAATAGTCATTTTCTAGGTCTACTAGCCAGTCTTGCCAAAATAGTGTCTTCCATGTTCAGTGAACATGTCTCAAAGAAACTAAGGTGGTTGTAGCTAGTGAGATGTCTCAGTGAGTAGCATGATTGCTGTGCGGTGGTAAGAATCTGAGTTTGAGTTCTAGCTCCCATTGAAGAGGCTGTATGCCTATAACACTAGCACTGGTGGTATGACATCAGGGGCCTGGTGGACAGTCCAGCTGAGATTGTGAGCTCCTAATTCAATGAGACACCCTGTCTCAAAAAATAACTAAGTAAATAAATGGAGAGCGATAGAGAAAGCTATCCAAAGTTGGTCTCTGGCTTCCACATATACATGCAATGTTGAGTACACAAATACCACACACAATAAGTTGGAGAACCGTAAAAGAAAGATACTTAAAGTCTACTTCTGCCTCTACAATTGTACATACAGGCTAACATACTCATATACAGTCACATAGAAAATGTGTACACACATCAAAAGAACAAAAAATTGGGCAGTCTAGGCAGGTGACTCAGTTGGTAAAGTGCTTGCAATGCAAGTATGAGGACCCAGGTTCAATCCCTAACATTCCCATAAAAACCTGAGCACAGTGGCTCACTTGTAATTCCAGGGCTGGATTGGCAGAGACAAGAGGACCCCTGAGGTTTTCTAGCACCCGGTCCAGCTGAACTGGTGATACCCAGATTCAGTGGCGGACCTTGTCTCAAGAAATAAGGGTGAAAATGACTAAAGAAGACATTGAACCTTTGACTTCCACATGCACGAGTGAACAAATGTACAACTGTGAAACATTAAACAGATAAATAAGACACAAAAATAAAAATTTGGGAGTATAAAGTTTGGGAGGAAGGGCTTACAAGCATGGGTGATGTATGTAGCTAATCCTTACAAACAGAGGGAAAGAAAAAATGTAGCAAAAAAAAAAAACTTTACCAGGTGAGAAAATGGTCAGAGACTTTTCTCTAGAGCTAATGAAGTCCTTTGCTTACATCCCTTTCTTCTGATGTACCAGTGATGGCCTTGTCTGTTTTCTCCCATACTTTTTTATCATTCTGTATCACAGTCCTCTTGCATAAGTTGGTTGTCTTTCACCAAATCAAGTCTTGCCAATAAATTATCTAAGTCATTTTGTCTACTGACTGGTGCTTCTGTTTCCTCAAGAGGAAAACAAGGAGCATAGGTATAGGTTCATTGTGGGATGGTTGTGAGGATTACATGAGCTCATGTATTCACTTCCTAGTTCTGTGTTGGAAGAGTCAGTCAAACAAAGAGTTCACTCCAAGATGGAATTTTAAGGCCTATGTGGCAGCAGGAAGTGCCAGCCTCTGATGGACTGAACTAAACCTACCAAGGCATATTTATTGATTGTTACACAAAGTTGGTTTTTTTCGGATGAAGTATTTCCTCGTGCCAAGGTCCCTAATCTAATCTATATGTCCCTCTAAAGGAAAGCATCACATGCCCTCTTGACTTTAGTCCTGTAAAGTATACCACTCACAGTACCCAATAGTCTAAGAGCCTCAGGTATTGTCAGAGGTGTCTTGTGACCAAATTAATGCAAAGGCTGTAAACAACCCTCAGAAAAACAATTCTACAAATCACAGAAAACAATCACAGTTTTCGCCGGGCGTTGGTGGTGCACACCTTTAATCCTAGCACTTGGGAGGCAGAAGCAGGCGGATCTCTGTGAATTCAAGGCCAGCCTGATCTACAGAGCGAGTTCCAGGACAACCTCCAAAGCAATACAGAGAAACCCTGTCTCAAAAAAAAAAAAAAAGAAAGAAAGAAAGAAAGAAAGAAAGAAAGAAAGACAATCACTGTTTTCCACAGAGATTCTTCCAGGTCAAAGTACTCCTAGAAAACAGCTGTTCAAGTGTTGTCATATTATAAGGGCCATTATAGCATTTCTTACCATTGTCAGCATTATTACTATCTGACACTGATTTCTTTTTGTTCACACTCTGACTCCTCCATCATGCTCACTGTGTTCCTTCATCTCTTCTCCTAACAGGGAAATCACAGCATGACTCATCACATCAAATTTGTGTGAAACCTGCATTTCCAAATGATGTATCAAAAGAAATCACTGAACGCGGTTCCTACCATTCCACTACAGAGGATCTGTGGAAGGACGGTGACCCTACAAAAAGAGATCAGCAAAACCAGATCCCACTCTTGAGTTCTGGTGCTTTCTTCAACCAGAAAACGCTGAGAAGTGACAATAGTTATGAGTGGGAAGCAACTGGGAGATCCATTCCTTTAGGACTTCACCTCATTTCTACCCAAAAGAGACTTCCAAAATGTTGCTCAATTGAAAAAACTTTGCAGCCTAACTCTAACCTTCAAGCAAATAGTGAACATCAAAGCAGTTCCACAAAGCAGCCTAATGGCATTGTTGAATCCTGTCAGTTCTTCACACAAGGCCCTTCTAATGCTGTGTGTACAATTCCTAACAGGGAAGAGAAAGCATTCAAAGGTAAAGACTTTGAAAGAATTCTCAACCCTAAGCAGCCACTTCTGCAGCATGAAATTCTTTCTGAGGACCAGCCAGTTGAATATACCAAATATACTGCTTTGTGTCAGCAGCAAATCACTAATACCATAGAGACACCTTTTATTTGTCACATATGTGGAAAGTCCTTCCTTCAGAAATCTCAGTTGAGTTCTCATCCAGGAACAAATAGAGGAGAGACAGCTTCTGAATGTCCTGACTGTCTGAAATCACTTACAAGTCCATCCAGCCTGCAGGTGCCTCAAGAAGTCCACACAAAGGAGAAACCTTACAAGTGCCATGACTGTGGGAAATCGTTCAGTTATGCCTCCCACCTAAAGGTTCATCTTCGAATACACACAGGTGAGAGACCTTATGTGTGTTCTGACTGTGGGAAGGCCTTCAGCCAAAAGTCAGTCCTTACCACACATCAGAGGATTCACACTGGGGAGAAGCCTTACACATGTAGCCACTGTGGGAAAATGTTTGTTTATGCCTCAGATCTGAAGAAGCATAGTCGGTTTCACACGGGGGAGAAGCCTTATGAATGCCCTGACTGTGGGAAGTTGTTCAGTAATAAATCCCACCTGCCTGTGCATCATCGAATTCACACTGGTGAGAGACCTTACAAATGCCGTGACTGCGGGAAGTCATTCAGAAGAAAATGCCACCTTAAAGTCCATAACCGAGTGCACACTGGGGAGAAACCTTACATATGCTCTGAGTGTGGGAAGGCCTTCAGCCATAGTTCAGTTCTCAGCACACATCAGAGGATTCACACTGGGGAGAAGCCTTACACATGCAGCGACTGTGGGAAAGCCATGTCATCCAAAGCCCAACTGAGTGAACATCAGAGGATCCACACGGGTGAGAAGCCATTTGTGTGCATGGAATGTGGACGAGCTTTCAGTGGCAGGTCTTCTTTACAGGCACATCGCAGGACTCACAGCAGTGAGAAACCTTTTGTCTGTCCCAAATGTGGGAAAGGCTTCCTGCGCAGGTCACAGTTGTCTTCTCACCAACAAACTCACACTGCTGAGAGCCCTTAGGAGTGCTGCATGTGTGTTGCAATTTCTGTCACACATGTCAGCTGAACGTACATCAAATTGAAATGGAAGAAAACGTTGCCGGTACTTGACTAGGAAAGTTTTCAACAACTGAAGGCTCATCTGTTTCGTTCTGTGCGGAGAGACCTGAGGTGGGTTTTCAATGCAGAAAGTCCTTCAAACACAAGTCAGATTTCAGTAGACCCAGGGACTCATACCTCACACTGTTCTTACAGATACTGTGATCATATGGAACGCTTTACCACAGTCAATTCCTTAGCAATACTTTTTTTTTAACTTTCTTTTTTTTTGGGGGGGGGGTTGTTTCGAGACAGAGTTTCTCTGTGGCTTTGGAGGCTGTCTTGGAACTCACTCTGTAGACCAGGCTGTCCTCGAACTCATAGAGATCCGCCTGCCTCTGCCTCCCAAGTGCTGGGATTAAAGGCGTGTTAACTTTCTTTTTATTTATTCTTTGTAGACAGATTTTTCTTTGGGGCCAACAGCTCATAAAGAATGACACAGACTTATTAATTATGAAAGCTCAGCTGATAGCTTAGTCTTGTTTCTAATTTGCTTATAACTTAAATCATCCCATTTTTATAATTGACTTTCCACCTTGTGACTTCGTTACCTCATCTCATAATGCCTATCCTGCTAGCTCTGTGCCTGGCTGGCGACCCCACCCTTCCCAGCCTCCTCTGTGCCTGGAAATCCTGTCTAGCTATTGGCCATTCAGCTTTTTATTAAACCAGTCACAGTGTTAAGGAATAGTCCACAACAGTTTTGTGTCCTTCACATCATACATCTGGATCGTATTCATCCTGTCCCTTTGTATCCACCCTCTGCCCTTGCAACCACCCCCCCACAAAATAAATTTAAGAGAAAAAAGAAAAACCAATTTTGGCATGGAAGCTGTAGTGTGACACAGTAAACCCTTTTGTCCATATGTCTTTACTTGAAATCGTTCATTGCAAGGAGTCCATTGGTCTGGTTCAAGGCCTCTGGTTTCTGCTACACTATTGATGCTGGCCCCTCACTGGGACTCCTCTTGGATATCCTGTTGCCCTGTGTCATGGAGATCCTACAGCTTTGGGTCTTTTCCATGTTACTAATTTAAATAAAGAGACCTAATTATAGCTATGCATTGGTTATTTTAAATATACAAGCTATATCTGAGGAAAAGAATAAAGGATCTGTAAGGAGAAGTACAAACATCCATGGTCATACATTGCTGTTTATGTGTGTGCATTCCTCTGGGTACACTTGTTTGTGGATGTTCTTGGGTACAATGAGAAATCTTTTCTTGATAAGACAAGTATCTACCTCCTCCCATGTATTCCACTGAAGCCCATCTTAGGGAATCAATGAGTTTATTGGGCATACTTAAAGAACATGAAGGATACTTTCAAGAGCCTTGGTGACCCCAAAGCAGCCACACTCCTTTAAAGTCTCACCCCAGCATGGATGACAACTTCCCCATAACTGCATGGATGACATCCCTTCAGTTAAGCTACCATAATCTATACTTCAGCATCTTCTAAGACCATGAGGCTACAGACTCAAATTGACAGGGGTGTAATTGAGATACCAGGTGAGGGATAAGTGGCCCTCCATACCTCTCCTATGAGGGAACATTAAAGATACAACAAACCCAACCTCAAGGGTCTCTTAAATGTGATCCTAGATGCTCTGATGAAGATGATGGCGTTTTGCTCAGATGATGTGTGCCCATGCAAGTGAGGATGTCTACAGGCTACCTCAGTTGTCATTTTTTAGACACCTTCCCTCTTGGTTGACAGTTTCTTATTGGTCAGGTCATTCCCCAAGTAGTCTAACCTGGGTGGCCAGTGAGCTCTAAAGACCCACTTGCTTTCAACTCCCATCACAACATTATTGTGCATACAAATGTGTACTGGGGTCAAACTCAGGACCTCACACGTGTGAGGCACAGACTTGACTATCTGAGCCATCTCCCTGGCCCTGTGTTAGATGTTAAAGGACTATTTTGACACAGAAAGAAATCTTGAATAATGATTTGAGCTAAGTCTCTCTGTAGTTAATGGTTTAAGGTATATAGTTACCAAACTCTAATTTTAAAGTTTGTGGGAAATTGTAACAATCATCTGGTAAGACACAATTTTTTTTAAGTGCCAGAAGGCAAATGACACACGTGTATCTTCATGCCTAAACATGTTTGCACATTCATTTGTAGGAGTGTAAGATCTGGCCAGCATTTAAGTATGTATGTATGTTTAGATATCTTCTCCCAGTTACACACCCCTGTCACCACCATTGGAACTTGAGCATCTTTTAGGCTCTTTATGATAGGGTTCCCTATGTGGCAGCAATGCCATTCCCCTCATCCCAGCCCCAGTACTCAATGGAGAAGTCAACAATCCTTAGGTAGTAAATGTGGCATCTGGCCAACGACTCTTACGGGAGACCTTGATGGGCAGCTAAGAATAAGAGATGGTTGGAAACAGGGAAGTGACAGACCAGGATCTCTGGTGCGTTTCCAGGGGAGGCCAAATCCTGACAATAATAGTAGGTAAGAACAGACAGCAAAAAGATCCCCCTGCTTCATTTCTGTGCAGCATCCCAAAGAGGCAAATACATAGATTCAGCAGGTTCGGTGGTTGCCACAGGAGAACAGAGAGGGACAGCATCATGGGTGTGGGTGCAGGGTTTCATTCTAGGGCATAAAAGTATTCTGGAGTTGAATAGTGGCCATTGTTATGTAGTGGTCACTGCTGAATTTACCACGTGAAATTTCTCTCAACCACAAATTACAGGACTGTAGTTTTCATATGTTACAAAGATCTAAAGAGTCTGCAGGGACTGTGGTATGGCTCACTGCTTGTCTACACATTTAATCCGGTATGAAAAAGCAAAACAATGAGTTTGTCCTACATGGGTATGTTACAGTAAACCTTTCCGCCAAAAGCTGCCGGAGCCCTGCTGCCACATGTGCTCTTTACGCCAGCCGCCCGCCTGAGTTAGGGCCCAAATTAATGCACAGAGAGACTTGTATTAGGTAAAATGCTGCTTGGCCAATGACTAGGATTCTCATCTGTTAGCTCAGTCTTTATTATCATAAATTATATATTTTATAAGACTTATTGGCATCCCTCCTTGCCGGTGGCTCACATCCCGCCACTGGAGGAGTCGAAGGGAAAAAGGGACCCTTCCTGTTTCTCCTTGCTCTATATGAGTCTCCTTGCTATGTCACTTCCGGCCTGGATCAACACTTCTCTACTACATTTCCCAGAATCCTTTTTGACTCCTAGTCCTGTCTAACTTGCTGCCATTGGCCAAGCAGTATTTTATTCAACAAACAATAAGATAAACATACACAGAAGGACCCCCCCCATCGTCTCTTTTCTGTCTAAATAAAAAGAAGGATAACTTATCTTTTATAATAACTGAAGAAAACTATAACCATAACTATCTGTCTTCAACTCTATCAAAGACCACAGAAGGTAAATATATAAACTCTAGAATTGACAGAGACATCTGGCTACCTGGACAGTCACCCTAAGTTCCTCTGTAACGTTGGGGCATTCATCTTCAGCCCAAGGCCACAGTGTGTCTGGCACACTTCTCCATTTCAACATGAACCCTTCAGTACTGTCTTGTTTTGTAAGTTCAGCAGTCATTTTCTTGTGGGTCCTGCATGTCCAGTTTATACAGCAACAGACAGTCCAGGCAAGAGCAGTTTCTTGCCCAAATGGCTAATCTTGCCATGTTGAAAGCAAACTCCATAACGAGTTTCTTCGATGCCCATCCTCCTTTCTGACGTAATTGGTGTGCCAGGAGCAGTTGTGTCTCACGGTCTTTGCTGTAGGTCTTTGAAAGGTTTGAAGAATACCTAACCATCTCAAATACATCTCTGTATATCTAGAAAACCTAACTAACCTAATTAGAAGTTCTGATTATCATAGGTGATTATAAAACCTGTATTTAATTATGCATATCATTTTAAAAGATCTGTATAAACATAATACCTAAACAAGAGGAGACATACACATATCACAAAATTGACCTTAAAGTTGTATCAATAATTGAAAATATATACTAATTGTAAAGTATTTATTCCTATACCCTATTCCTCTTTTTTTTCTTTAAAAAGAGATTGACTATGTTCATTATCATTTATAACTAACCCCATTTAAATGAAACAAACATTTATAAACAATATTTGGGGATTTGGGTGTTGTTCCTTCTAAACTGCTTCCTGCTGATTGGGGGCGATGTTTATACCATTGGAATCATGATAAAACATAGAAACCTGACCAAGTCCTTGTTTTTGAAGTCTGTAAGGCTGTATATTCTCAGCTTCAGGGGGTCTTGCTTGATCAAACCATATTAGTCTGGAAGGAATCCACAGCTTTTGATTTTCTGTGGAAACACAAGTAAAAACTTTTTTTTCACGAAGCCTGTCCTTAGACTTAAATTTTGAAGTCAAAGCATTTTTAAAATGTATAAGTTGGATTAATTTAGCAGCATTTTTAATCAAATGTATTTTAGCAGTAAGTCTTTCCTCGGCAATCAAACAATTTAAAGACAACAATATGGCATACAGTATCCAGATTCTCTGTGTATTTTCCATCTTTATGTGGCTTTTTTATTACTGTATTTTTACTTTCTTTTTTTCCCGAGACAGGGTTTCTCTGTGGAAATCTGCCTGCCTCTGCTACCTTCAGCAAATCCTACTGGCGTGTGCCACCGCAACCGGCTACTCTATTTCCTCCTATTATTTTTTACTCTCACAAGCCTACATATATTTTTAAACGCAGTGTAGACCTTTAAAGATTTTTATCTGAATCTATCTTTATCATCTTGGGGGTGCCGAGTCCAAGGCCCAAGAGCGCCGGGACGGGGCGAGCCTATGGAAGCTGCTCCGATGCCTCTCAGCGGCCTGACAGGGCAGGCTGTGGCGGCAGGTTTCCCTCTTTCTCTGGGAACTTTGGGGCATTGGGTCATCCCGCTCACTGGCACCATTCTGTTACGGTAAATCTTTCTGCCAAAAGCTGCCCAAGCCCCACGGCCACATGTGCGCTTTACGCCAGCCGCCAACCTGAGTTAGGGCCCAAATTAATGCACAGAGACTTGTATTAGGTAAAATGCTGCTTGGCCAATGACTAGGATTCTCATCTGCTAGCTCAGTCTTTATTATCATAAATCTATATATTTTATAAGACTTATCGGACGCCTTATTGGCGTCCCTCCTTGCCGGTGGCTCACATCTCGCCACTGGAGGAGTCCAAGGGGAAAAGGGACCCTTCCTGTTTCTCCTTGCTCTATATGAGTTTCCTTGCTATATCACTTCCGGCCTGGATCAACACTACATTTCCCAGAATCCTGTTTGACTCCTAGTCCTGT